ACATTAATACGTGCTTTGCAATGGATGATGATGTATTTCTATTCAGATTAACCGCGTTGGGATTTTCTATATGATTTAGTAGCCATTTTGGAACATGTTCTTTTCGACGACCACATTGGAACATTTTGTTGGTTCTACCTATATATATGTGTGTCACCGCAGCTGCAGGTGAACTTGTAGATACAGTTTGAAGTAGAGTCCATAGAATTTCGTCCTTTAATCGTAGGTACAGGGATAAAAATGTTCAGCATGCGAGGGAAAGAGATGCAGCGTAGAATGAGCGTTTGATGGCTGACTGAAGTGTCTTTGAGCTGTCTGTCAACTGCATAATCTGGTCACCTTTGAATGGTAGGTAGGTTAATAAAGATAGATAGCTTTCTTTGGTACAGAAGCTGTCTTTTCTAGATGTGGTCTATTCTTACTGTGACAATTGATGAAGTTTTCTCGATAACCATTAGATAATAAAACTGAATGTATGTGTCAAAGCTCATCCAACAATGTGTCACTCGTGCTTATTTTTCGGACCTTTGAGAACAAAAATTCATTAGGGAACGTTTATACTGGATAAGAACAAAACTGGTAAAATAAAGATACTGTCCAGTCCATGTCTGTTTACGAAAAATAGATCGTGGAATCGTTCCATCATCTCTCCTGGTCATTTAAATATCCAAGAAACCGAGTTTGCTATTCGATTCGAGTTCGGAAGTTACTCGGATATTTGGATGAATATGATTAAATAGAGTAATAAAGTTTTCAATATATTTGCTATTATTACTATCATCTACATAGCGTTTGTATAGCATAAATTTTCCAAACATACCTTGCATTTGTTTCTCCAATTTCGACATGATTATTGTGAACCATATTAGTTGTCAAGCGGTTGTAAAGAAACTACGAAATGAAGATATCATCTCGCGAAATTTGTCCAGTGCACTGACGAGCAACAAAAACAGGAGTTGAATTCAAGCTACAATACACTGAACAAAAGAGTAAAGAAGAGTGCCAGGGAAGACAAAAGAAAGTATTATGAAGCCATGTCAAGTCAAGGAGAACAAGCTGCAGGCAAAGTAGACCTCGCCACACTCTACCAAACAACTAGGCACCTATCGGGAAAATGTTCGACACAGATTAAGCCAGTAAAGGATGACAATGGAAGGTCAATCACCAAAGAAGTAGAGCAAAGAAAACACTGGGCTGAACACTTTAAAAGATTTCTAAATCGACCGCCACCTAAAACGCGCCCAACAATACCAACAATGGAAGCAGAACTACCAGTGAACATCGACCCCCCGACAAAAATCAGAAGTCCTGAATGCAATCAAGATGCTAAAAGCTGGGAAAGCAGCAGGACCAGATGGAATCCCAGCAGAAGCGATAAAAATGTACCCAGAAACAACAACGGAGTTGATGACGCCACTGCTGGAGAAGGTGTGGAAAGAGGGCAAAGTACCCGAGGATTGGAAGAAAGGAGACTTAAGTCAATCCAAAAACTGGCGTGGAATTATGCTCCTGTCCATCCCAAGCAAAATACTAAGCCGCATTATCTTGGAGAGAATCAAACAAACCAACCTGGATGAAAAACTTCGACCGGAACAAACTAGATTCAGGAGAAACAAGTCACGTGTTGATCAAATCGCCATAGTACGGATCATCATTGAACAAAGTTTGGAATGACAGTGACCTCTCTATTTCAACTTCATCGACTTTGAAAAGGCCTTCAACAGGCAGCGTCGATCGAGAGGTGATTTGGAAACTACTTCGCTACTACGGGGTCCTATTGACAATTACACATCTCATCCAACAGTTATACGACAATGCACATGACAAGTAATCCACAACGGTAAACCTACGGAATCCTTCGAAGTGAGGACGGGAGTGAGGCAATAAATTGTGCTCGAAACGTCATCAGTAAACATTACTGTATAACACTATGAGACTTTAATAAAACAAAATTTACCCATAATGGAATTACACTCTACCACAGTGCACAAGTTTTATTCTTATATCAGCTCTCTACTATCGCCAATGATTTTCTTGATTGCAGTAGATTGGATAATGCGACAGACAACAGGCAGCGAGGAAACAGGCATAAAATGGACTCACACAAAAAAATTGGAGGATCTGGACTTCGCCGATGATATATGTCTGATCTACCACAAACTGGAAGATATGCAACTGATGAAAATCAACAAGCTGACAGAAGAAGCATCAAAGATAGGACTTTAGGTGAACATAGATAAAACACAGGTGATGAAGATTCCTGGCCAACACCAACAGCAACAACAACAGATAACAATCAGCCAGCATGAATGGGAGGAACCCGAAAGAAACAACCTCCTTCACCTACCTACCTGGGAAGCATCGTTTCAACCACAGGAGGAGGGAACTGACGAGGATATCAAAGCGAGAATCGGAAAAGCAAGACAAGCTTTCATTACTCTGAAGTCTGTGTGGAAGTCAACATCACTCAGGATCAAAAATAAGATCCGGATTTTCAACTCCAGTGTGAAGTCAGTGCTACTTTACGCATCAGAGACTTGGCGTCGCGTCATAAAGAGCATCTTCAACAAATTTCAGACCTTCATCGACAGTTGTCTTCACTCAGTACTCAAGATCAGATGGCCATAAAAGATCAGAAACAGGGATTTCTGGCAATGAGCGAACCAACACAGCAGGAACCGATTGTGAAACAAATAGGCAGGAAGAAATGGAGATGGATTTGCTGGCCATACTCTGAGGAAATCATCAAGTGACATCACCAGACAAGTCATCGCTCGAGTGGAACCCGAGATTGAAGCGGCGAGTTGGTCGTCAGTGCAAGGGTGACTTGGAGGAGGTCATGTGAAAAGGAGATGAAAGCATGTGGGCAGACTTGGAGCGAGGTGAAAAAGTTGGCAGAAAACCTAAAGCAATGGAGACGAGTGGCTGAAGCCTTATGTTCCTCTAGGAATTAAAGGATATAATAATATAATAAAATGCCTTATACAATTATTAGTCTACTTTTCTTAAACTCAGTAAATAGCGTGTACTTTTGCATCAGACTTTATGTGATAACGTTTGACTAAATCTCAGTCACAGATAACCGAATATGAAAAAATGTTTACAGGTATATTCGGTATACAATAGTGTGTGTGTGTGCTTGTGTGTATCCGGCAACAATTGTAAATCATTTGTTAACCTGTCCACAATAAGATACAGACAATCGGAAAATAGATCAAGTATGATTGATTTTCTATCTGTCTGTTTTTGACATAGTACTTTGCACCGATGTGCGCCAGTTCAAGTCGCCACACTCCCTCCTTGTAGCACACAAAGCAAGAGAAGAAAGTACAAGAAAAGCATAATAGAAACAGTGAGCAGAGGTGTGAGACAAAGGAGTAGTAATAACGAAGAACAAAACAGTTTCATTGGAAATCATAAGTCACAAGGAGTGGTTGCATCTGCGCTTGCCACTGAGAACGATCACTTTGAGTCATGCCACCAATTGTTTCCAACCATTGGTTTTTACCGTCCCGAGGACCCCAACCAGTCAGGAAGTTTACATCTTCCTACGTGGCATAGACTAACTGTTGTAGATTTCATTGACTGATGAAGCGATGTTTTTGTTTGACCGTCTCTAGCTCTTCTCCAGCCTGACCCTATGTCAGCTAACATTGCCCATTGTCGAGGAAGGCGATCGATGGCTAGGCGAGCATGCGTAACACATGTCCTAACCATCTCAGTCGATGTAATTTCATAGCCTCGTCGATTGACTTCCCTACCTTACTTATCACGTAACGCCTTACCTCAATATTGCTCACTTAATTATACCACTTCACACGGAAGATAGAACACTGGAACTCTTTCCAGCTTGGCTACGCAGAGGAAGACAGGCATGTAATTAGAAGTTAGTTGGCGGATGGTGTCTAGCAGTGGAATCCAGGATATTGCGCATTTAGTCCTATTTGGGACTCATCACTGGATGTACCTGAATTCCGCAGTGAGCGATGATGTTCCTATCAACTAACTTCTAATTACATGCCCAAACATCCTCGAACCATCTGCACAAGAAGCCAACAGACATGTCAACCTGAGACCGATCACTTCGCTCCAATCAATCGACGGGAAAATCTAAAATTAAATAATATCTGTTAATCTGAGGTTAAATTTTGATCCCAGTCCATGCGATTTTGTTTATTATACATGGTGATACCTGTTTCATGACTCCTACGATTGGATAAAGATTTTTTGAAGAACAATAGCTGTCCTTTTTATGTATAAACCTCTGTTATTTCAATGATGATTAGTTTCCTGGAAGAAGAAGTTCGGACGAGTTTGGCGAACGCAGATTTATACAAACATAATTCTTACTAATATCTCTACTACTCACTCGGCGCTCAATTATTTTGGAATTATTCGGTCAAATCTTGATCACAGTTCATATGAAATCGAATATTTGTTCTTAATCGAAGATTAAATGCTGTTAAAATAGATGTGAAATGTTACGGAATTCAAAAAAAATAGATAAAGTGACCAGTGTGGTATAGCAAGTCAGGTTTGACGAAAAATATACTCGCCATGAATGACATTAGCTAGTGATCGCGCTATATCGTGCGTGAATCGGAAGCAGTTGGAATTCATGGGTTATTAAATCACGTCTCAGTGGTTTAATGGTCCATAAGCTCTCCTTCTACCTTAAAGGTCCTAGTTTCGAACCACGCCGTATGGATGCGTACTACTGAAGAGTCCCAGACTAGGACGAAACAACTGTCCAGTACTCCCAGGTTTCCCAATAGTTCTGTAACCGATATCAGCTCATGATGAAGTCCTAAAGGCAATCAAATCTCTGCAAACCAACACCTGTATATTATTTGATTGACTTTGAACCCAGGACCTTCAGGTTTGGAGGTGAGCTCATTGGCCATTCACCCTCAGGGATACTGATATATTTTGCATTTCTATACAGAGTAATTACAGATAAAAAGTTAATTGACTCTTTAATTTTTTCCATTTCTGTTTAGTGAATTAATTAATGTTATCTCAAATGGTCCATCTATATCAGTCAAGGATAATATTGCTGCGATTTTCGGTCATACACAGGTAATATATGTATTGTACAAGGCTATCTGTTTTAGCAATACTATATTTGATTGGATGGAGAATTTCATCATGATGAGCTGACATTAGTTAGAGAATCACTGGAATACATGAGAGTACTGGACAGCTGTTCCATCAGCCTAGTTTGGGACTCTTCAGCAGTACGTACCCACCGGGGTTCGAACCCAGAACCTTCTGGTTACAAGGTTAGTGAGCTCGTAGACCATTGAGCCATTGGGACCCGATTCAATGGTCAGCCCATGAATTCTAACTTCTGCCAATTCATGACATAACGTGACCATTTCTCAATGTCTTCTTCGATGAGTTACTGCCTCATCTTCAACCTATTGAATTCATGGACCATTGGATCGTGTCCCAGTGACTTAATGGTCTACGAGCTCGCTAACCTTGCAACCAGAAGGTCTTGGATTCAAACCCCGGTGGGTGCGTACTGCCGAAGAGTCCCAAACTAGGGCGAAACAGCTGTCCAGGCATTCCCAGTGGTTCTCTAACTGATGTCAGCTCGTGATGAAATCCTCCATCTTACTTACTTTTTACTTTACTTCGGCTATCTCCTACGGGAGGATGAGCCGGCTTCATGAACATCTCGTGCTGCCCAGGCGCGGCGATCTTATGAAAGGTTTTGCGACAAAGTTATCCAATTCTTGTTCCACAGATGGAGTCCGTATACGGTTTGTAGCCCCAGTCACTCCATATCAGCCTTGACTGTACTAAGCCATGTTTTCAGCTGTCCACCCCTGCGACATCGCCAAGATGGAAATGGGGAGGGATTTAGAACTGATTTGACCAGATCCTCATCTGGTCGGCGCAGAACATGGCTAACCCCCGAAGGCGACGTTGTTGGACCAGTACTGGAATTTGGTTGATGTCGTAGAGAGTTCATGAAGTTTCATGGGAATTAGATACGAGTGATGTCCCCAGAATCGCTCAGCCTTTTGTTTGATAGTGCAGCTCTAGCCTTTACACAACCAAGTGTGACCTACAAGGCAGTAGGAGTGGAGTGGGGAGTCCACTATCCATTGGAAGCCAGCCGATGACCGGAGTCCGGTTCATACGTCGTTTTGAATGGGGCCAGACATCCAGGGCATCCAATAAGCTCTTTGTCCATACGTCTGCCGATGAGCTTCATACGCCAGTCGTTTGAGGTTTGGAATCAGGGTTTAGCCATCTCCCCTAGACATCCAATGTCATCCAATGGACAGTCAACCCGGTGAAGAGCGCCGGGCATCCGCTTTTGCCCTCTCACTTCGGTGAAATAAACACCTCCGCCACGTGAAGGTAGTGAGTAGGACTTCCTCAGGAGAGGCTATGTAAGACGCACGGTCGTATGGGAGCATTTCAAGAGGTGTGCGGAGGGGTGGGCAGCCCGAAGCGCAAGGCACCCACCTCCGACCATCCTAAGGCTTTGGAGACTATCCTCCATCCAATCAAACAAAATCCCTACAAAACCAATACTTGAAAATACTATATTTCTTTGGATATATATATACATATATTATTCCCTTGAGTGCCGAGTGCAGCACAGGACTTCAACAGCACATCTCCATTTTGTCCTATCTTCTGCCGTCCTCTTCGTCTGGGTCCACGATTGACCATAATCTCTCATGTTCTCCTAGTCGCACGATCTCCTCCATGTCACTGTAGGTCGACGCATTCATCGCTTCCCGTTGGGATTCCACTCGAGAAATGGCCTGGCGCGCGATTTCATTCGACACCTACCTCAATGTATGCTCGACCCATTTCCACTTTCTCCAGTATATTTGTTTAGCGATTGGCTCTTGCCTGTTGGTTTGTTCCCAGAGTTTCTTGTTGTTTATTCTTTCTGACCATTTGATCTTCAGTATGGAGTCAGCGAAGGCAGCTGTCCATAAAAGTCTGCGACATGCTGTTGGAAATCCTTTTCGTGAAACATTGACCAAGTTTCTGAAGAACCGACTGACCGACTTCACATTTGCGTTGAAAATCCGAATCTTGTTCTTTATGCTGGCTGAGTGCAGAAGATTTTCAAACTGGTTTCAAGTTGATAAAGGCGTTTATTGCCTGTCCTTCCGATTCTGGCTGGCTGGCTGGCTGGCTGGCTTTGACATCTTCATCTGTTCCGACTGCCTGTGATTGAAACAATGCTTACAGCCTAGATAAGTGAAGGAAGTAGCCTCTGTCGAATCTCTTCTGTTGATGGTGATTGGCTTGGTCTTCCTGGCATAATCACATGGGGATTATCTTGACTTTTATGGCATCTGAAGTCTCAGGCTCAATAATCATGCGTACACTGAGCGGGCCATGGTAGGCACAAACACGAGAGAACCAGGCAGGCCTTAGGCCAGGGAGAAGGTGTATTAATCATATCTTCACCCTCCGACAGATTCTAGAACATAGGCATTCCTACCGGCGTCCAACAATCATTATATTTCTTGACTTAAAGGCTGAATTCGACTCTGTCGACCGAGGGGTACTCTGGCGATGCTTGGCTGTAAAGGGAATGGTGAGAAAATACATTGGACTGATTAAGGCACTCTACTCGAACTCATGCAGTCAGCCAGGTGAGAGCTTATGGCGAGTTATCATCGGAAGTGGTGACAACTAGTGCAGTGGTGTCCGTCAGGGATGCCCATTATCCCCATTTCTATTCAATTTCATCATAGATGTGTGCGTTGGTGGCACAGTGGTTAGGACTCTCGCCGACCACGCACATGGTCCGAGGTTCGTGCCCTCGCCAACGCACACCTGATATCTATGGTCGGCCTGCAAAATTTGGGCTACCGATATCCATGCTGAAAATTCCATACTTGTACCAAAAATACAGTATGGAATCAAGCTGTAATCAAAAATAAAAATAAATCACTTCAGAGACTAGTTCCCATGGAATAATCTCGTTGACTTAGAATATACAGACGATATAGTTCTTCTGGGTGAAGACGCTGACAAAATGCAGAGTCCTTTCAACACCTTGAGTTGCGATCTGTACTGCTCAGCAGTCCTCTCCGTCCTCCTTTATGGCTGTGAGCGAGACATGGTCATTGAGAGTGGAGGACATGAAAAAGCTGGCTAGCTGTCTTTGATCTTAAGTGCATGCGTTCTATCTCCCTTGTTAGGTAGTGGTAAAATAGGGTGAACAATATTGAGGTAAGCGTCGAGTGCTAGGTAAATGTGAGGGGAAATCAATCGACGAGGTTGTGAAGTTACATCGATCGAGATTATGAAGGCATGTGTGACGCATGCATGATTAGCCATCGCCTCCCTCGACAATGGGCAATGTTAGCTGACATATGGTCAGGTTGGAAAAGAGTTAGCTAGTGGTGGTCAAACCGAAACATAACTTCATCGGTCTATGAGATCCACAACAGTTAGTTTTAGCAAGCCACGTAGGGAGGTGTAGACTTCCCAGCTGGTTTTGGTGTCTTGGGAATAGTAAAAAGCAATGAAGTCTGGAGACAATTGGTGATATGGCTCAAAATTCTCGTTCTCAATGGCTGTCGCTGATGCATCTACTCTTTTTTGATATGTCATTTCCAATAAGGCTCGATTGTTCTTCCATATCACTACTCTTTTTTCCTCACTCACACTTCTCTGTGCTATCTCTCTCTCTCTTTTGCACCTCTCCTCTCGTTTTGTGAGCTAAATGGACATGTGTGCAAAGTTGTATGTTGTAACCAGTTGGTCAGTGAGTGCGTCAACTGGAAATGGAACTCGGACTGGTTGCGGGTCGTAGTTGGCAAGTATTTTACCGTCGAATCACCGACGCAATATGATAATAATAGTAATGTTATAATAAATCATCTTATATTGAGACAAACATATGGTACCAAATCTGTTATAATAAGTAGATTTAAAAAATATACTATATATTTTGTCCTTTGTTTTATTTTGACAGTTGAATAGTCTTATGGAATTGGAAGAAATCGATGCCATTCCAGATGATATATGCGAAGAGTTCGACATCAATCGGACGTCTGATCAAAATTCTATCAGGTTAGCGTATTACTAGTAACAAAAGAAATATGTTTCCGCGTATTCACATGGATTGATGTATAAAATTATTCAATATTTTAGGGGGTTATATGCGCTACTACAAACTGATTATATCTGTCCTATAAACCATTTTGGAATTCATGCGTAGTCTGAAGATCTGACCATGCGTAGATCTGATCATGCGTAGATCTGAAGATCGACCACTGGTGGTAGGTCTATTGGAGGAGTGGGTACAATACTGAAGAGTTTCAAACAGGTATGAAATCAGTGTTGTGTAGTCACTCGTCTCCAGTGATGTCCGTTTGTCATATAGCCTACAAGGGAATTTTATAAAATCTCAACATAATCAATATCTGAAGGTTATGCAGTGACTGCGTTAGTCAGAGGCAGTAATAACTGAAGTATAAAATTCTGTCTGACTTTAGTGAAATGATGATCACCGCCTGGTTTGGCAGGTAGGTCTTACAGCCTATCGTGTATAGCGTCGGGCTCGTTGTTTCAGATACACCGGCTGGCTCTTCAATCAAATGTTATCACAACGCTGATTTTCAGTCAACCTTCCAGCCTCATAATGCACTGTTGTATAAAATAAACTTTTGAAGGTGACCGAACGAAAAGTATATCGGGCGAAGAGATATATTGAAATGGTAGACGACAGAAGACTTCGCAAAGGAATGTTTATTTAGAGATTCGTATCTCTATATAGAATAATTATTCAAACTACCAAAGAAAGGAGACTTAAGTCAATGCAAAAACTGGCGCTGAGTTATGCTCCTGTCCATCCCAAGCAAAATACTAAGCCGCATCATCCTGGAGAGAATCAAACAAACCAACCTGGATGAAAAACTTCGACCGGAACAAGCTGGATTCAGGAGAAACAAGTCACGTGTTGATCAAATCGCCATAGTACGGATCATCATTGAACAAAGTTTGGAATGACAGTGACCTCTCTATTTCAACTTCATCGACTTTGAAAAGGCCTTCAACAGGCAGCGTCGATCGAGAGGTGATTTGGCAACTACTTCGCTACTACGGGGTGCCATCGACAATTATACACCTCATCCAACAGTTATACGACAATGCTGCATGCCAAGTAATCCACAACGGGAAACTTACGGAAGCCTTCGAAGTGAGGACGGGAGTGAGGCAAGGTTGCCTACTATCACAATGATCTTCCTGATTGCAGCAGATTGGATAATGAGACAGACAACGGGAGATGAGGTAACAGGCATAAAGTGGACTCACACAAAGACAAACTTTGAGGATCTGGACTTCGCCGATGATATATGTCTGATTTCCCACAAACTGGAAGATATGCAAATGAAAAGCAACAAGTTGGCAGAAGAAGCATCCTGAGAAGATAGGACTTCAAGTGAACATAGATAAAACAGAGGTGATGATTCCTGGCCAACACCAACAGCAACAGACAACAATCAGCCAGCATAAATGGGAGGAACCTGAAAGAAACAACCTCCTTTACCTACCGATCTGGGAAGCATCGTTTCAACTAGACGGACGGAAATGACGAGGATATCAAAGCGAGAATCGGAAAACAAGACAAGCTTTCATTACTCTGAAGTCTGTGTGGAAGTCAACAGCACTCAGCATCAGAAATAAGATCCGGATTTTCAACTCCAATGTGAAGTCAGCCAGTGCTACTATACGGATCAGAGACTTGCACTGCGCGTCATAAAGAGCACCTTGAACAAACTCCAGACCTTCATCAACAGTTATCTTCGCTCAATACTCAAGACCAGGCCATAAAATATCAGCAACAGGGATCTCTGTCAGTGAGCGAACCAACACAGCAGGAACCGATTGTGAAACAAATAGGCGGGAAGAAATGGAGATGGATTGGCTGGCGATACTCTGAGGAAACCAACATGTGACATCACTAGACAAGCCATTGCTCGAGTGGAACCCGACCAAATGGGAAGCGGCGAGTTGGTCGTCACTGCGAGGGTGACTTGGAGGAGGTCATGCGACGAGGAGATGAAAGCATGTGGGCAGACGTGGAGCGAGGTGGAAAAGTTGGCAGAAAACAGAAGGTAATGGAGATGCGCAGCTGAAGCCCTATGTCCCTCTAGGAATTAAAGGATATAATAATAATAATCTCTATATTAGCCAAATTATGTATAACTTATTTTCAACGTGCCATTTACACAGATCTTTGTGTTGTGACACTTCTGGCCTATATATTGTCTTTCTCTGTGTTCTTTTCACGTCTCCCATGTAGCTGCACAATGCTATTTGATGTTTTTATATCTGTTTTCGGCATAGAACTTTGCATCGATGTGCACCAGTTCGAGTCGTCACACTCCCTCCATGTACCACACAAAGCAATAAAAGAGATGCATAATAGAGACTGTAGACAGGGCTATGAGACAAAGGGAATAGTAATATCGAAGAACAAAATAATTTCATTGGAATTTATAAGACACAAGGAGTGGATGTATCTGCATTAGCCATTGACATCGACGATTTTGAGTCATATCACCAATTGTCTCCAGACATTGGTTTTTACCGTTCCGAGGACCACAACCAGCCAGTCAGGAAGTCTACACCTTCCTACGTGACTGGCTTAAACTAATTGTTGTGGATTTTATTGACTGATGAAGACATGTTTTATTTTGACCACCACTGCCTATCTTTTTTTCAACCTGACCATGTGTCAGGTAACAATGCCCGTCGAGGAAGACGATGGCTAGTTATTCATCGTAACACATATCCTAACCATCTCAGTCGATGTAACTTCACAGCCTCGTCGATTGACTTCCCCACCTTACGTAGCACTCACTCGACCAATGCCTAACCTCAGTTTCTCTCACCCTATTATACTGTTTCCCACGAGAGATATAACGCAGGCACTTATGATCAAGGATAGCTAGCCGGCTATGTCATGCCTTCTACTCTCAATGGCCATGTCTCACAGCCATCCATAACGGAGGACGGAGAGGACTGCTGAGCAGTACACCCGCCCTTTAGTCGATAGCCAGCCGGATACCACGTTTGCTCCAGAGATGGCGTAAACTGGCATATGCGAAACGAGCCTTCTGTATGGGTGCTAAGATTTCGTCAGCGATCAACCCGTATGTGCTGGCTTATGCGACTTCCCAAATGAGTAAAGTGGTCAACACACTCCATCAACCACTTCATTCCCTATTTCTAAGCTAGGAGTCAATGTAGTTCAGTCCTGTAACATCATCTTACATTTGGCGGGAGTGAATCACATGCCATACATTCGTAGATTGCAGCTCAAGGTGTTGTTTTGCGGATGAACGTTTCTTTATATATTACTGATAAATTTGTATCTTTTTTATTTTAATTTTTTGATTACAGCTTGATTCCACACTGTATTTTTGGTACAAGTATGGAATTTTCAGCATTCGATATTGGTAGCCCAAATTTCGCAGGCCGACCGTAGATATTGGCACCAACGGACTGATTGGCGATGAAATCTCAGCACGGATCCGAAAAGCTCGAGCTGCTTTCGCTGACTTACACCATCTCTGGCGTAGGCGTGACATCCGGTTATCAACCAAGGGACGTGTGTACTGCTCACCAGTTCGCTCCGTCCTTCTCTATGGCTCTGAAACATGGCCAATACGCGTTGAAGACATGAAAAGGTTGACTGCTCTCGATCATAGATGTCTGCGATCTCTGTCTCACGTTAGGTGGTTTCACAAGATAAGTAATGTTGACGTTAGGCGTAGAGTGTTGGGCAAACAGGGAAAATCAATCGACGAGGTTATAAAGTTACATAGACTAAGATGGCTAGGTCACGTGCTGCGCATGCCTAACCACCGCCTCCCCCGACGGGCTTTGCTAGCTGATATAGGTTCAGGTTGGAAAAGAGCCAGTGGTGGCCAAACAAAAACATGGCATCAATCCATGAAATCCTTGACAGTTAAAGTGAGTCAGGTAGGGAGATGCAGACTCCCGGGTTGGGGCCCTCGGGACTCTAGGAATCAATGGCTGGAGACAATAGGTGACATGGCTCAAAATCGTTGTCAATGGCGCAGATATAGTATTCAGTCTCTGTAATCTTTCATATTCCTTTCTACCATTACCCATTCTGTTTCACTCTTATACTTGTCAGACTGTGTTGATTCTTTTCACTCATCTTCTTGTCTACCTTTGTGTGGTATTTGGAACGTGGCAACTCGAACTGGTGCACTTCGGTGACAAGTTCTATGTTGAATCCAGACAGACAGATATCAGGTGTACGTCGGCAGGGGATCGAACCTCGGACCATGTGCATGGTCAGCGAGAGTCCTAACCACTGTGCCACCATCATCATCATCATCCTGATCGCTTCTATCATTTAAAGCAACGCATGCATTGACTGGTCACCAGAGGATAACTAATCTCACCCTCAAATCCATTTTCTGAAATATGGTTTACAATGTGATCGCGGATTGATATCGATTGGTGAATCATTGAAAACCAGTAGAGTTCACTTGGTCAGGGTGAATTTGACATACATTGAAGGCGCTATTGCTTGAGTGAGAGTCCCTTTGTTTCACGAATTGACAAAATTAGAATTCGTACGTCATCTAATTCTGGTTGAATGATCAACGAACTTGGTCTTGTAAGCTGAAATTCCCTTGTGGGGGATCATAGGTGTGCACTGCTGTGAAGAGTTTGCAACTAGGTTGAAACACCTGTCTAGTACTCTCCGGTTTTCATTGAGAGGTGAAATGCGAAGAGGAGATGAAGACATGTGGACAGACGTGGAGCCACGTGAAAACGTTGGAGGGGAGAACCGAACGCAATGGAGACATGTGGCTGAAGCCGCATATTCATCTACGAAATAAAGGAGACAATACTATATAATAATAACCTTCCTGATGCCTTGGTCCTGATGGTGTACCTGCTGTTATCCTCAGAAGATGTGCTGATATAATAATAATAATTTGCTTTATTCCCAAATAGTACTTGTGATACGTAATGGAATTCTCAGTATTTTGCTACAGTATTGCATCAAGTTAGTATATTAACAATAAATAAACAGTCTACATGGATTATAGGTAATCTCAGTTCATTATGACAACAACATATTAGCATGTCGGTAGCAAAGCTAAAAATTGAACAGAATATTTGAAGGTGTTAGAAAAGTAGACGCTAGCATATTTACTGGCGTAAGTGGAAGAAAGATACAAAGCAGCACAAAACAACAACAAAAAAGAGAAAAGGAAAAAAACGAAAAGAAAACGTTGTACCTATAAATGATATGAACTGGAGAGACGAGATCCAGTTGTTCTACTGACTATTTAATAAGTTGTAGGTATCACGTCTAATGCTTTCTTTATCGCACGGAACACGAGCTAAGTAGGGTATGGTTGAGTTTTTGTACTTACTAGTGCCAGCACATAGTTTTCCATATAGGCTTGTGGTCTGCCTGATGAGATAGATACAAGGGGAGAGTTGTGAATGAAGAGGGTGGTGTGAGTTAAACAGATAGAATGGATTTAGCCCATTTTTCGCGTGAGGAGTGCAAGTGCCTGTCAACCAGAATATTAACAAGATGGTTAAGTGGCACGTAGCTTACCGTGCTGACAATCTTTAACATCCTGAGTAATAAGGTGTAGTCTTTCTTCAGTATCCCTGGAAAAACTAAGGGGGAACAATAGAGAACAATAGACAGGATGCGAGAGTTAACGAATTGTAGGAGTAAGGGTTGGGTTGGGTTATACCAGAATGTCTTAACTTCTTGATGTAGAAGGTAAGACGGAATATTTTCTTAAAAATCATCAAGATATGAGATATGTTATCCTCTTACAAACATTTTCAATGATTCTTTTTCCAGTAATTTTGTACCCCGTAGCATGGAAAGACATTAAAAATTATCTCAGTACACGAATCATGTTCTGGTATGAATTTTAAATCTAGAGCTATTGTAGTTACTTTTCCTTTCTTTTTGAAATTCACGGAGAAATTACTTTCAGCTAACCTTGGACCTGCCTTGAAAAGTTTCAGTGATCCCGAACAGTTTGCTTCCAAACAGGGTGGAAGTACTTTAGATGCTTCTGCTGTCTTACATCTTAATATTGCTTCCTGTTTGGACCGAGGAGTCTTGACGTACGTTCCTCAACTATACGTCCTCTTTTGACTTTGCACACTCAGATGCCTTCTGTTATATAAACTTTCCCTTCACACAAACCGAGTCCTGGGCTGTTAACTGTTTGGATTCTTATTTCTCTGACAGGGTGCAGTATTCTGCATAAAAAAGGCAAATCTTCCTCTGCCTGGCCTACTGTAGCTAGAGTCCCTCAGGATGCTGTTTTCTTTGGTCTTCTTCTTTTCTCTTTTCTCTTACATGACTTGCATCTTTTGGGTGAAATCAACTTTGTTAAATACGCTGATGATCTGGCTAATTCGTTACCAGCTAAGTCCTGATCTGGCTGTTCCAAACTTGGTATCTTTTTGATGATATTAGATAGTTGGAGGCAGTCGGCCAAAGGAAGCCTCATCTGACCTAAGTTTCGTGCTAGTTGGCACTCACTCACCAGTCAGCGAGACATATCTGCAACCTTGAAAGAAACTCATGTCCCCCGTCTGAGATTCGAACCCGCGCTGTCACTTAGTGAAGGCTGCAGCTGGAGACCTTACCACTGAGCTATTCGGGTTGGCTCGCGATTGACCTCCTGTAGGACTGTAATGGGTATTTTGATTGGACACTAGTAACTAGTGTCATGTGTCTAGTCTTTTCTTTGGTACAAGCTGAATTCTATCATTTGGGTTTGGTATTTTTTCGCTGGACATCAGTCTTTGGTCTAAGTCAAATGGTCTCCCACCTTAAATCCTTCTAAGTATTTATTAAAATTTTTATTTTATCACATAGCTTGACTCCACACTGTATTTTTGGTACAAATATGGAATTTTCAGCATGTGATATCTGTAGCCCAAATTTAGCAGGCCGACCATTGATATATCAGGTGTGTGTCGGCCGTGGGTATCGAACCCCGAACCATATGCGTGGTTATCTTTGTTTTTCCCCTCACCATATCATGTAAAGAGAACATTATATTCAATATTTTTGAACATGCTAAGATTTGTATACCGCTTTGACAATACTGTATGAAACAAGCCCACGTCAATTTTCACTTGTATTATTATTAATACCACCTTAGCTGTTATTATTATTCCCACTTTATATGCTGCATGTTTGTTTTAACATTACCCCTATTGTAAATGTGGAAAATTTTCTGTGTGATTAGTTTTTATTTATAATTTGAGGAAATTAGATGGAATACTGTGTGTGATTAATGCTGAAAATTCCATTCCGTATCACAAGTACTGTTTTCGGAATAAAGTAGACCATTATTACTATTATTATTATTATTATTATATCTATGTATGCATTATATATCTCTTTTTTTCTTTTACTAGGATATCTGGATATGTGAGTAAACCTCCAAATCTTATTTCAACTGATAATATATCATCGCCAGTGATGAATTCCTCCTTGACACTGTCATCATCATCAAACGGGAAACGTCGTGCTTCATCTGTCTGTGGTCATTCCTCATCTGAAAGACAATTTGTTTATGTCAATGGTCGACCATGTGATCTCCCGAAGTTAACACGTCTAGCTACCGACCTATGGCGTCGTTGTTCTCGAGAAGCTTATTCATCAATCACTTCTGGGATAAGTTTACCCAATCGAAGTACATGTGCTTCATTTCCAGTCCTTGTATTAATGTTAACTATGCCTACAAGTAAGTTGGAGGTCGGGGGCGGGGGGGGGTAATGGAGTAGAAGTGTTCTTTTGTGTTGTCGTGAATCAGCGTATTAATATTAAAATCTTTCAGGTTGATGAGTATGTTTTATTAGACTACCACTGGACTAAACTGACTCCTAGTTTAGAAATAGGGTGTGAAAAGGTAGAGCACGTTCACCGCTTCATGTATTTCGGAAGTTGCATCAGCCAGCATCAACGGGTTGATCTCTGATGAAATCTCATCACGGATACAGACGGCTATTTTCGCATACGCCAGTTTACACCGTCTCTGATTTGGTAGACGCTATATCCGGCCGTCGACCAAAGGGCGTGTGTACTACTCAGCAGTCTACTCCGTTCTTCTTTATGACTAGCTGTGAGTGAGACCTGGCCACAGAGAGTGGAAGACATGAAAAGGCTGGATAGCTGTCTTTGATCATAGGTGCCTGTGTTCTATCTCCCGTGTGAATTGGTATGATAAAGTAAGCAATATTGAGGTTAGGCATCTGTTGAATGCTAGGTGAGCGGTGTTAGGAGATGCCACAGGTACTTCATGAGGATTAGCTGGTGTAGGGATAGCTTTGAGTACTCGGGCAGAAAAGACATTGCTTGATTGGATCCCAGTAGATAGCCGAATGTGTGCTGTCCGTCTGAACGGGTCAGTAGAAAGGAGAAAGGACTGCACTACTCGCCGATGCCTTTTCGTAATCTCCACCTACGCCCCCACTGACTGCAGTTCAGATGAAACGAAGGATGAGTTCTACGAAAAGCTGTCTAGTTTGTTGCGAAAGGCTAAACGCTCAGATATAGTCGTTCTAGCTGGTGACTTTAACGCTCAAGTAGGGAAATTGTGTCAATCTGAGAAGGATGTCGGTGGCACTTATGGAGTTCCGTGCCAGCGAACCGACAACGGTGACCGTCTCCTACAGTTCTGTTCTGATAATCATTTGTTTCTTGTAAGCGCTAACTTCAAACACAAGGAGAGACACTGTTTGACTTGGAGACCCCCTTCATCAAACCAACGCTGGACACAAATAGACCACATAGCAATAAGCTATCGTTGGCGTGGGTCGGCAGGAGATTGTCGCTCCTTCTGGAACACGTGTGTAGATACCGACCACGCACTGGTCCGCGCTCTGGTGTGCTTACGACTGAACGGACGTAGGAAACAGCTGGCGGTAAAACCATCACGTCCCCAGCTCGATCAGGAAACTAAATCCGTATTTCAGGAAGAACTAGCTAAACGCATATCTGAGTTCGACAGCTTTGCTCACCCTGGAGAAGCATGGAAGAATATTCAGGTAGCCATAGATACAGCTGTAAAAGCTGTGAATAAGGTAAACCCAAAGGTGAGTAAAAACCACTGGATTTCGACTGCCTCATCCGAACTGATAGACGCTAGAAGACTTATTCCGGCGAGCTCCGAACTCAATGAGGAGCGAAAGCTGCACAAAAGGAAACTTACGAAAAGTCTCCGCAAGGACCGTGAACAGCGGTGGGTGACAAAGGCGAAAGAGATGGAAAAAGCTTCGACGATTGGCAACACCAGGCAACTATTTAGACTCATCAGGGAAACGGGTGGGAGAAGACAAATCATTAGTGAAACAATCTCGGAGAAAAATGGCGCCATAATTAGCTCCCAGGATAGATGACTGAATGGAACCCGAAAGGGAGGCGGCGAGTTGGTCGTCCAGGGGTGACTTGGAGGAGATCATGCGAGGAGGAGATGAAAGCATGTGGACAGACCTGGAGCGGGGTGAAAAAGTTGTCAGAAAACCTAAGGCAATGGAGGTGCGCAGCTGAAGCCCTATGTTCCTCTAGGAACTAAAGGATACAATAATAATAATAATAGATGACTGGATCGCTGGAAAGAGCATTATGAGGAGCAGTTTAATTGGCCCACAGCCACGCTTAATCTGCCGAACATCCAACACCTCCCTGAATGGGATATGGACGCAGGTCCTCCATCCCTAACTGAGGTTACTAAAGCTGTCACCAATCTGAAACTAGGCAAAGCAGCGGGACCTGATGGAATGACGCCAGAGGTATTTAAGTACGGTGGAGACAGCTTACTGTCCGGATTAACTGAGGTACTAGGCAGCGTCTGGGAATCAGAGGAAGTCCCATCGGGTTGGTGTAAGTCACTGATTATCCCGATATACAAGATGGGAGACAAGTCTTCCTGTGATAATCACAGAGGGATTAGCTTGACTAATATAGTATCTAAAGTCCTAGGCTCGATAATCATGCGTAGACTAAGTGGTACTCGGGAGGCACAAACACGAGAGAGCCAGGCAGGCTTTAGACCAGGGAGACGGTGTATTGACCATATCTTCACCTTTCGTCAGATTCTAGAACATAGGCATTCCTACCGGCGTCCAACAATCATTATATTTCTTGACCTAAAGGCGTCATTCGACTCTGTCGATCGGGAAGTTCTCTGGAGATGCTTGGCTGTAAAGGGAATGGTGAGAAAATACATTGGACTGATTAAGGCCATCACTCTACTCGTACTCATACAGCCAGGTGAGGACTTACGGCGAGTTGTCATCTGAACTGGTGACGACTAGTGGTGTCCGTCAAGGTTGCACATTATCCCCTTTTCTATTCAACTTCATCATAGATGTGTTAATGGACTTAACCCTAAGTGACTTCAGCGACTCAGGGATTGACTTGCTACTAGGGAATAATAGTCTCGTTGACTTAGAATATGCAGACGATATAGTCCTTCTAGGCGAGGACGCTGACAAAATGCAGAGTCTTCTAAATAACTTGAGCTGCAATCTATGGATGTTTGGCATTCGATTCGCTCCCGCCAAATGCAAGATGATGTTACAAGACTGGACTAAACTGACTCCTAGTTTAGAAATAGGGAGTGAAAAGGTAGAGCACGTTCACCGCTTCATGTATTTGGGAAGTTGCGTCAACCAGCATCAACGGGTTGATCTCTGACGAAACCTTATCACGGATACAGAGGGCTATTTTCGCATACGCCAGTTTACACCGTCTCTGATTTGGTAGACGCTATATCCGGCCATCGACCAAAGGGCGTGTGTACTACTCAGCAGTCTACTCCGTTCTTCTTTATGACTAGCTGTGAGTGAGACCTGGCCACAGAGAGTGGAAGACATGAAAAGGCTGGATAGCTGTCTTTGATCATAGGTGCCTGCGCTTTATTTCCCGTGTGAAATGGCATAATAAGGTGAGCAACATTGAGGTTAGGCATCGGTCGAGTTCTAGGTAAACATGGGAAATCAATCGACGAAGTCGTGAAGCTACACCGACTGAGATGGTTAGGACATGTGTTACGTATACCTGGTCGTCGCCGTCCTCGACAACAGGCAATGTTAGCGGATATAGGGTCAGGCTGGAAAAAAGCTAGCGGCGGTCGAACAAAAACTTGGCTTCACCAGTCAATGAAATCCACAACAGTTAGTTTAAGCTAACCAACCACGTAGGAAGGTGTAGATTGACTTCCTGTTTGGGGTCCTCGGGACGGTAAAAGCCAATGGTTGGAAACAATTGGTGATATGGCTCAAAATCGTTCCCAATGGCTGGTGTAGATGCATCCACTCCTTGTGACTTATGATTTCCAGTGAAACTATTTTGTTCTTCGTTATTACTGTTCGTTTGTCTCACACCTCTGTTTACTGTCTCTATTATGCATTTCTTCTCTTGATTTGTGTCCTACATGGAGGGAGTGTAGCGACTTCAAGTGCTGTAGATGCGTGCGAAGTTCTATGTCGAAAACAGACAGACAGACACACAGATTTTTTATTAGAGTGTATGTTCTAATTCAATTTCTCATTGGTACTGTAACGACAAAAGACAAAGGCCAAGCAACAAATGATTTATATTGAGAAAATCGACAGATATTTATAAGGTTTTATATACATTATTATTAGCGTTATTGTTGTCAGCAGGGAAGCAGTGTCTTCTGATTGGTGCTTTTCTTGCTTAAGGTTATTCTGTACTGCGCTTGTGACCGTTTCTTAGAAAGTTAAGCCTTATGTCTGCGAATCGTATTTGCACACGTTAAGTCTTCTGTGATTGGTTGATGAGTTCCTGAAGGTTAAGCTTTGTTATTGCTTTTTTTCTTATGACGCTGATTGGAGGCGTAAACATTGACGTAAATTGTTGTCTAACAATTTTGGGTAGCAGACGGCTCTTACCACACTGCCACATACCATTATTCTATCTTTCAGGCTTTCCTTATTGCTGTTTATAAAGTGTCAAACCCTTGAAGTGTTTGATGTGAATAATTTTGGTTTCGAATTGGAACCGCTATAGACTTTCACTCCTAAATTTAAACTTTGCAAGTATTATGAAGAAGCATGCGTATATGTACATAGCAACAAAAAGAATATTGTGTCTAGTCTCCTTACTTAAAGATTGGAATCCGATGTCTTGGTCGATGTTGACGAAATCTATCCGGTTTTTCTCTGACGTGGGGAGAGAGCCTATACGACTAGAGATGAAGTCTCCAGAGAAGTAGTCTGCCATCACATCCGCTGTTTTTTATGTTTTTCTTCGATTGTTTCTTATGAGGAACTTACCGCCAGCGATGGGCCACTGTAGGGTTAGTCGGGATATACACTGTCTGAGGTCAATCTTGTCTAACCCTTCTCTCCACAGTAGAGAGGCAGCATACCCGACGCGCTTTTCATCTGAGGGAAACAAAATTTACTGCTGTTAGACCCCTGTTCCCGGGGAAGTACCCACAGATCCCCCCACCATAGTGTAAACGTCTAACAGAATCCTGATAACTGCTTTTAGTCTAACAGATCTCTTGCCGATCTTTATGGTAATCTAGAACCTGCAGGAACATTAATTCTAGCCAGTATAGCTTGTTGGGTCATTGCAATCTCAACCATCACGTCAAGCTAGGAGCTTTTGGTGAGGCTTGATATCTAATATGATTCATTTAGCATTTTCGCCCATCTGCTCATCTAATTTCTTGGAAGAAGTGGGAAGTCGTGACCAGTAGGGTGCAGGAAGTCGGGTGTGAGGACAAATACTCGCCGAAGACATTGGCTAGCGGTTGGGCTATATCGTGAACTGGCAGAAGTTAGAATTCTTGGACTAGCCATTGGATCGGGTCCCAGTAGCTTAATGGGCTACGAGCTCGCGTTGTAACCGGAAGGTCCTGGGTTCGAACCCCGTGATGTGGGTGCGTACTGATGAAGAGTCCCAAACTAGGACGAAACGGCTGTCCAATACTCGCAGGTGGTTTTCCAATGGTTCTCTAACTAATGTCAGCTAATGATGAAATCCTGTAATTTCTTTTTGTTTTCTTTCTCTCTCTTTCCTCATTTTCCGTATCTAGAAACTGTTGATATCAATTTAACTCCAGACAAAAGGACTCTATTATTACATCATGAGAATTATGTTCTGGCTTTAGCTAAAGCAGTACTTGTTAAAACTTTATTTAATTCTATTGGAATGGATATCGATAGTCTGTCACAGTCAAGATTAAATCTCAATGAATCACAAATTGTAACAATGCCGAATAATCATGATGGGAATGATCGTGAAAATGGCGTCGGCGGTGATAGTGTCTTCGGTGGCTCTCAGGAAGTCTCTGTGAGTTATCTCATGTTTCTTTTTTCTCGTCTACGCTGTCCTACTTTTATGATGTGGCGGGTGTGTGTGTGTGTGTTTGCGTGTAATTTTCATTTAATAGTACACGGATGACCTTCGTAGCCTAGTGGTTGGTTCAGAGGTAGAAAATTCGCCGACCCACTCCTCAGGGGTCCGATCGCCGGCCGACATACTCCCTACAAAACCGATACTTAAAAATTAGTCTGATGCTCATGGCGATTGGCCGTATTCAGGCAGTTAACCTGCAGTTCTACTGGGAAGCCATGACCAGTAGGATACAGCAGGTTGAAGGTGAGGTGAGTTACTACTCACCGAAGAAGAAGACATTGCGTAGTGGTTGCGCTATGTTATGGATTGGCAGAAGTTAGAATCCATGGGCTGGCCATTGTATAGGGTCCCTGTGTCTTAATAGTCCCGGGTTCGTACCCTATTGGTGAGTGCTTACTACTAAAGAGTCCCAAACTAGGACGAAACAGCTGCCCAGTATTCCAGTGCTGGTTTTCTAATGGTTCTCTAACCACTATCAGCATCTGATGAAATCCTCCAATAAATTCGAAAGAATTATTACACAGTAGAATGAAGATGTGGGGTTTACCACCCCCCTCCCAGAAAAAGCACTCTTCCCGACTTATTCTTTTGGAAGCGTGCGTGTATTTTGGTGATCGTTACTTCTTAGCCGCACCCCAGCAAGCCATGGAAGTAGATTATAAATAATACTTAAAGAATCATTAACAGGTACATTCGTGAATAATGAACAAACATCGAAACTTGCCATTATTTCATCTTCTTCAATATTAGTCAAATTTATTTTCCTCTTAAATTCATACGAATTTTTCACTCCATGCTCCACTTTCATTTCATATGGGCTAAGAATTCGATAAATGTATTTTGAGAGTTTGTATGTTGGAGAGTTAGTAAAATCCACTACTGGACGTAATGGTACTTCTGGTTTGTGTATTTTTGGTAACCCATAAAATCTACAGGGGCTGCAACTTTTTGGAGCCAGAGTAAACCAAAGTGATACACCAAGCTTTTCTTTTATTGACTGTAGCATTTTGCTTGTTTCAGCCTTCAGCTTATTTAATGTCGCTCTTGATTTATTCGCGTTGAATTTTTCATAAGCTCCATCATTAAGATGATCAATGGCCTTCTTTTCGTAATCTGCAGAGTACATGACAACTGTGATATTGCCTTTATCTGCTCTTGTAATTACAATTGATTTATCTTGCTGTAGTTGTCTTAATGCCATTTGCTCCTTTTTATTTATATTCGGCGCATTTGGCTTCTGGTTCAGTAGTACTGCTGCAATTTTGTGCCTAATGACGTTTGCCTCTTCGGCTGTCACTGACTTTAACGATGGTTCAATTGCTGGGACTACTTCAAAGGCTGATAAACGCCTTTTGTTTAAATTGAAATTAAGTCACATCAGATTTGAAGTCTCTCATTGATAACATTTTTAAATTTAAAGAAGAATTTTATCTTCAATCTTCACAAAGAAGACAAATCAGAAAGTTCGACAGGTTGCTTCAATTAAGCAATAATCCTAAAAACCATCAATTTGAAAATCCGTCTAGTCGTAACTGTCTGGATGCGAACAAAGTGGTGGTCAATCTCTCTGACAGAAATTTATCAGATGATGAACTATCCCTCCTTAAAAAGGGACTTAATTTCAATTTAAACAAAAGGCGTTTATCAGCCTTTGAAGTAGTCCCAGCAATTGAACCATCGTTAAAGTCAGTGACAGCCGAAGAGGCAAACGTCATTAGGCACAAAATTGCAGCAGTACTACTGAACCAGAAGCCAAATGCGCCGAATATAAATAAAAAAGAGCAAATGGCATTAAGACAACTACAGCAAGATAAGTCAATTGTAATTACAAGAGCAGATAAAGGCAATATCACAGTTGTCATGAACTCTGCAGATTACGAAAAGAAGGCCATTGATCATCTTAATGATGGACCTTATGAAAAATTCAACGCGAATAAATCAAGAGCGACATTAAATAAGCTGAAGGCTGAAACAAGCAAAATGCTACAGTCAATAAAAGAAAAGCTTGGTGTATCACTTTGGTTTACTCTGGCTCCAAAAAGTTGCAGCCCCTGTAGATTTTATGGGTTACCAAAAATACACAAACCAGAAGTACCATTACGTCCAGTAGTGGATTTTACTAACTCTCCAACATACAAACTCTCAAAATACATTTATCGAATTCTTAGCCCATATGAAATGAAAGTGGAGCATGGAGTGAAAAATTCGTATGAATTTAAGAGGAAAATAAATTTGACTAATATTGAAGAAGATGAAATAATGGCAAGTTTCGATGTTTATTCATTATTCACGAATGTACCCGTTAATGATTCTTTAAGTATTATTTATAATTTACTTTGTGCTGACGACGAACTCAGTGATCGTTGTCCTTTAAATCCCGACGAAATTATGAAGGTATTAGAACTGTGTCTTAAATCCACGTTATTTACGTTCAGAGGGGTTCTTTATCGTCAAATAGGAGGCATTGCTATGGGATCACCAGTATCTCCGCTAGTCGCCAATCTGTTTATGCACTCATTAGAAACAAATGCAATTATGAGATGCCTTAGTCCCCCAAAGATGTGGTTAAGATACGTAGATGATACCTTCATCATAATCAAACGTAGTTTGTTAAATGAACTTTTTCAGTTAATAAACAATATGTCAGAAACCATCAAGTTCTCCAAAGAGGTTGAATCCGATGAAAATGAGTTGGCGTTTCTGGACTGTTTAGTAAAAAGAAAATTAGACGGAAAATTTAAAATAAACATTTTCAGAAAGCCGACAAATTCGGATAGATACCTAGATTAGCATTCAGCTCACCCATTTACCACCAAAGTAACTGTGGCCAAGAATCTGATCAACAGAGCCAAACGTCTAGTTACTGAGGAGGAAGATATTAACGAGGAACTAAAATTAGTTCAATCCACTCTTGAGTCAAATAATTATCCTAAAGCCTTCATAAAAAGATACTTAAAATGTGAAGATAAGGATGAATCAAAACCTGCTGCTAAGAATTGGGTTAGTACAGCGGTGGTTCCTTACCGCAAAGAAACGTCCGATGAAATAAAGCGAATCCTTAACGAACATAACATAAGAGTGTACTTTCGTGCATCTAACACCTTACGTTCATTGCTGGTGAAGGTTAAGGATAAAATAGAACAAGAAAACCAGCAGAATTGCGTATACCAGATCAATTGTGGGGATTGTAACGCAGTATATGTAGGAGAAACTTCTAGACAGGTAAATATAAGAATGAAAGAGCATAAACAATGTCTAAAGGTGGTTCCAAAGAGCTCTGCAGACTTGAAGAAGCTAGAAAACAACTCAGCGATTGCGCTACATTCAATAGAAACGGGACACAAAATCGACTTTGATAAGACTAAGGTTTTACAAAAAGGTTTTGGTTCATATCAAGAAAGATTAACTGCAGAAGCCCTACATATATGGGTGAATCCCAACAGTTTAACAGACGTGAAGGTGTGATCTTAGCCGATGCATGGCAAATCCTGACTAATAAACAAAGTAAAATTTGATATGTATGATCAAGTAGTCACACTTAGTCAAATTCCCGACTGTCTACGTCTTCTTATGGAGAGAATAACAAAGCTATAAAAATTAAATTATATTTATAAAAATGTCAATTATTTGCAACTATCCGGTCAAATCTTGATCACAGCTCATATGAGAATAGCAAATGTTTTATGACTGTTCCACCCACACACACACACACACACATACACACACACCATTGTATCCTGCATATACTGCATATACACATATATTTTAACAAAAGTAGACAAATTTTGAAAGCCTGAGGTCAAAAGTTTTTGATCATAGTTCATACAATTTTTGTTTTGTTTTGTTTAGTATACCTATTGATTCATATTTAAAAAATAAGAGATGTACTTTTATATAAACATACAATTCTTGAATTGAATTTTTGATTTTCGCGTCGATTAATTGGACCGAAGTGCTCGGTCTCAGGTTGACATGTCGGCTTCTTGTGCAGATGCTTCGACGATGTCTGGGTATTTAATTAGTATACAATTAGTATACAACTGCTAGCCACCATCCACCAATTGTATACAAACATACAATTCTATTTATTTATTTATGATACATGTTGATACCTGTTGCATGATTCATGATTGGACAAGAATTTAAAAACAAGATGTGTCCCTTTATATATAAACCTCTGTGTTATGTTAATTTCGATTAATTTCCCTGAAAAAGTTCGGACCAGATTGCCGAACGAAACGTTGGAATTAATCATTTCAATTTCGCTGAGATTTTACAAATATAACTTTATAAACAATTAGTCTGTTTGATAAATTTGAATAAGGCATTTAGAGGACAAATTTCGAGAGATGATATCGTCATTTCGTTGTTTCTTTACAACCGCTTTATACAACTAACATGGTTAACAATGATAAAATAAAGTTCATGAAAATTATTCAGTTATGATTGGTCATTAATATGTACTTTTGTTTTGTTTTATATAACTGAGTAATTTATTTTTATTATTTTTGATTTACAGCTTGATTCCACACTGTATTTTTGGTACAAGTATGGAATTCTCAGCATGGATATCGGTAGCCCAAATTTTGCAGGCCGACCATAGATATCAGCTGTGCGCCGGCGTGGCCTCGAACCCCGGACCATGTGCATGGTCGGTGAGAGTCCTAACCACTGTGCCACCGACGCTGTGTCATGCATTCTATTTCATTTTATTATTGTGAACCATGTTAGTTGTATAAAGCGGTTGTCAGGAGACTACGAAATGATGATATCATCTCGTGAAATCTGTCTTCTTAATGCCTTATTCAAATAATCCTAAGTTCATTGAACAATTCGCCAGTTTATATGTCAAAATATAACAGATGAACTGACTGGTTTCAATATAGGACTTTGCAAAAAAATTAGGCCATTGCTAAACTCCATCTCCATGCAGAACACACAGGCAGATAAAAGATATTCAAAAGAACTATATAATGAGTAGGAATGTATAGGAGAAAGGATAGTAACTATGGTTCAGTGGATCGCAAAGAGTGAATGTATCTGCACCATCATCAGTAGTCTTCAGCTATATTGGCTCTTAGCATCCCGGAAATACCAGTCATGTAGTTTACACCTACCTTCCTAAGTGATTCGAAACAACTATCAAAGACTGCATAACCTAAATTTTTTCTCAATCTAATCGTTTGTCGGCACATACAACGCGTGTCCCACCCTACTCAATCAATTCAACTTCACATCGATTGAGATGGTGATGATTTACTCGAGCGATAGAACACTAACCCAAATGGTTGAGACACAAAAACAAAAGCACCCGAGAATTCGATTACGAAGCACCTTCTTGATAGATTTATTTTATTCCATTACGTTCCAAGTGCAACATAGAGCTTCTGTAGCGTAGCGGTTAGGGTCTTGGGTCATGGGTTCGATACCTGATGAGATAGTGGGCGCGTATTGATGAATGGTCCAAAACAAGGACGAAACAGCTGTCCACCAGTATTCCCTCAGTGGTTCTCTAACTAAAGTTAGTTCGTGATTAATCCTGAAACTGACGAAATCCCTGCAAATCAACACTTGTTTGAAATCTAAATCTTTCTGTTTATCTATATTGGGTGGCTAGTTAATTACTTTCAGAAAGTTGGACCCTAAGGTTGTAAAAAGAGTTATGGCTAGTTAAAACTCACTGGCTAATAGCCATACTTGTTGTGTATAGCCTGATGGATATTGGCCGGTTGCCTAGGCTTATAGGTAGGTTAAGAAAGATTCGAAACCAAAAGACCTATTGACCTAAAGATGAGTTCCAACATATACGTGGTGGTCGGGCTTGTATAACGCAATAACCCAACCAGTTACACCGGCTGAAACTAATTTTCCTATGGGTTCTGCCTACCATATCAGATAGGTCGTGGGGTTAGCAGTTAAATAGAAAGCAGTTACCATCATAGTGTATATTATTTACACGATGTTGGGTGCCTATGGGCGAAGTCGTACACTTCCGGATGTAACAACAGCAAAGTAGACCTCTCAGATGACCAGCAAGTTAGTTATTCTATTCTGCCTCTTTACTTAAGAGAAGAGATTAATTTAAATAATTTATAATGAATCAATCTGACTCGGCGCTTAAATTATTCCAGGAAATTCGTAACGCCTATGGTCTGGAAACCTATAATATTGCATCCAGTTAGTATATTGTCAATAAATAAAGTTCTGGATATATTATGGGTATTCTCAGTTAGTTTTGACAACAGCATATTAGCATGTTGGTAGCAAAGGCGAAATTGGACAGAGCGTTTTAAGGTGTTAGAAAAGTAGATACTACTAGCATATTTACTGGCGTAAGCGGAAGAAAGAAACAAAGCAGCACAAAACAACAACAAAAAAGAGAAAAGGAAAAGAACGAAAAGAAAACGTTGTACCTATAAATGATATGAACTGGAAAGACGAGATCCAGTTGTTCTACTGACTATTTAATAAGTTATAGGTATCACGCCTAATGCTTTCTTTATTGTACGGAACACGAGCCAAGTAGAGTATGGTTGAGTTTTTGTACTTACTAGTGCGAGCATATATTTTTCCATATAGGCTTGTGGTCTGCCTGCGTGATGAGATACAAGGGGATAGTTGTGAATGAATAAGGTGGTGTGAGTTCGACAGATAGAATGGATTTAGCCCATTTTTCACGTGAGGAGTGCAAGTGCCTGTCAACCAGAGTATTAACAAGCTGGTTAAGTGGCACGTAGCTTACCCTGCTGACAATCTTTAACATCCTGCGTAATAAGGTGTAGTCTTTCTCCATTATCCCTGGAAAAACTAAGGGGGAACAATGCAGAATAATAGGCAGAATGCAAGAGTTAACGAATTGTAGGAGTAAGGGTTGGGTTGGGTTATACCAGAATGTCTTAACTTCTTGATGTAGAAGGTAAGACGGAATATTTTCCTAGAAATCGTAAAGATATGAGACGATCAGGAAAGATCAGCAGATAGAATGACGCCAAGATATTTAATTTCAGACTTGGTTTTAATTTCAGTGCCATCAATGTTGCACACCTCGTGAGTGTTAACCAGTTTGTTTAGGTCAGGTTTGTGCCTAAAGGTGAAATTAACTGTTTTAATTTAATAATATTATTATTATTGTTTGTAGAAAGATCTATTTATGATGACGCCTCTGTCAATGCCAATAGTTGTTGTAATCGAGATGCTTGACGTCTTGGAGGTGCCTACACAACTTTTCCGAATAATAATAATAATCTCCTATAGGGGGTTCGTAAGGGTTAGTTTTGTTTTTACGAGTTGATCACAGATTGATATCAGTTAGAGAACCATTGATAACCAGCCACAGGGAGTACTGGACAGCTGTTTTATCAGTTTAGTTTGGGAATCACCAGCAGTACGCATCCACTGGGGTTCGAACCCAGGGCCTTCCGGTTACAAAGCAAGCTAGAATTCATGGGCTGGCCATTGAATCGGGTCCCAGTGGCTGAATGGTATATGAGCTAGCTTGCCTTGTAACTGGAAGGTCCTGGATTCGAACCCCCCCCTGCGTGGTATTTGGGCGTATTGCCGATGATTCCCAAACTAGACTGATGAAACAGCTGTTCAGTACTCGAGCGGTGGTTTTTCAATGGTACCCTCCGTAACTGATATCAATCCATGATCAACTCGTAAAAATAATAATCTCAATCCAACCTGTAAATATTATCAACTGTCATTAAAAACGAAAAAAATTGAAATACAATTTATTTTCATGCATTTGTTTGTGGCGTCGGTGGTATATAGCGGTTAGGACGCTCGCCGACCATACACATGGTCCAGGTTTCGATCGGCGGCTGACATACTCCTTTACTTCGCTAAGCCAGAAATGAAGCTGGTAAAGAGGAAAGTTGGGCATAAGGCTAGCAACCTCATCCTGTAAAAATAATCACCACTGCTACAGAAACTTTAAGCCACTAGCTTAAAGCCCTATGTTCCACTGGGGAACGTGAAGGAAAAAAGTTGGTTTGTGGTGATTTGATTGATTGGTTACTGGATTTCGTCATGAGCTGACACCGGTTAGAGAACCTGTTATGTTGCTGCTGCTGAGTGGTTAATAATAGTTATCCCCGTCACCAAATTGTTATGTACTCGTCGCCAAATTATTGTTATGTACTGGTCGAAAATTTAATAGTCCTGACGCAAGAAGGCGGAAATCAGAAGACCACTAGGTTTGCGATGATACTTCTATTTTCCACACACAAGGAGAATGCAAAGTGGTATCACACCAAAGTAAGTAAGTAAGTCACACAAGATTGTGTGAGCGAAATATATATGGATGTCCAGACAAGTGTGTGGACAAATCAATGGACAGTCTTAACATGAATGGCTAATTATAATGAAGTATCGATCCATATACACATAGCAAAATATAGCAGACATGTCGACAACCACCATATATGGATACATGTCACCAAGCAACGGACTGTCAACAAACACACATATTATATATAATATATGGGGAATATACGTTGTTAAAGGAGACAGGTTCATCAAAGTGAAATGGTCACAGACTAAGCGAGCAAACAGAAAGAGAGACCACCATACACACACACATAAATATATATATGTGGATACATATGAGAACCCCAGTGGGTGCGTACTGCTGAAGCGGAGTCCCAAACTAGGTTGACGAAACAGCTATCTGGCTCTACTCTCTGACTAATTTTCCAATGGTTCTCGCTAACCGATGTCAACTCATGATAAAACCCATTAACCAATCATACAGTTTTTCGTTTATTTGTATCATCTTACACTTTCTTGTATTTTTAGTTTTCTACTCCAACGTATCCACGTCAATCTACTCTATCGGATAATGGTGTATCATCAACTAAAAGAGGTAATTTTATAGTTTTTGGTGGGTTTTTTAAGTGTAAAACTATATACTACTGATTGGTGATCGACATGAGTAGTTGTAGATAGGTGGCTTACATCTATGAGTAGTGCTTACTGCTAGGTAGGCCAACCAGATAGTAGAAGTGATCGTAACCTCGAACGACTGTTTCACTTGTTTGAAGTCGAGCTGTCATATCTCACCAGTGTTATGAGGTATGATTTAACTCAGAGCTGGAGACAGAAAGAGAGAGATGAACGACTGACTGTCTGGTGTTTAAAACACTTCAATTTGATTAGCAAGCACTGATGGTTGTGATGTTAGTTGTTTACAACTACTCATATAGGTTATTAAATAGTATGTAGTTCTATCCATTCATTATTCGTTTTGATTTAGTTTTGTTCTCTGAGCTTGCTTGTTGTCCTCCTTTATAGACAACATCCCTTTAAAACGCAGATTCAAGTATGAAATGAACTTATTTGAATTCTTCTTCCATGAACGATGATATAATTGTATCTCCATACGGACAACCTTTGTCGTGATTGTTTGTTAATTTACATGTCTATAGATCGTCAAAAGTGTTTAAGCTCAAGTCGTCACACCAACAAGAAAAACCATCATCAAAGATCATAAGCAAAATTCACTCTATCACATATAAAAAGCATCTCTGAATTAACGGCTAGGGTATTAAAACCGTTTGAAATAGAGATATATGGTGAGAGCTGTCTCCTAACCGAAATTGTAGACAACAATTTACGTCAATGTTCACGTCCCGAGTCTGGGTCATGTGAGAAAACAATACCGAAGCTTAGCCTTGAGGAACTCGACAGACAATCACAGAAGACTTAGCGTCTACAAATACGATTTGCAGATATATATATGGCTTAACTTTCTAAGAAACGGTCATAAGCGCAGTATAGAATAACCTTAAGCAAGAAAAAACAACCAATCAGAAGAGGTTTCTTTTCTGCCGACAATAACGCTAGCAATAATGTTTATAAAAATCTATAAATATATGTTGATTTTCTCAATAAACGATATGTTGCCTGCCCTTTGTCTTCTGTCATTAAAGATACAGTACGGAAGCTGACATCCTATTAAACCATCTAACACGGGAGATAGAAAGCAGATACTTATGATCAAAGATAGTTGGACTGACGGAAATTCATGTCTTCTTAGAAGTGTTTGTAAAGGCTGTGATTCCAGACCTGTGGTGTACACATGAGCACCAGAATCTGAAAGGAATGAGTGGTGTATGAACTTGTTTTAGTCACCGGAAATCATGGGGACGCAACTCCTGACGCTACTCCTCTACTTCGTGGATCAAACTACAAATTAAAGGTCCTTGGGGAGAGGGTTAACCTTTTGAGACAACCACCTAATTTCTCGTGTGAGTCTGGACAATTTACCTAGTCCTCTCATAATCTATGAGGTTTTGTGTGTAGCGCATTTGTTGGTGCCCATAATATATTGAGTTTGTAATTTATTATTAATAATAATCTTCTTTTCTTTGTTTCTCTATTGGTCATTTTATTAGCACCCTATTCTGAAGATGTACAGTCAACACAAATAGAAATAATCAACCTTACACCTGAAACACCTATACGTCAATCCAGAGACGAAAATATCTCCTTGGAAAGTAGTCAACCAATTGATTCCCAAGAAGGCGACGTGGAAAATTGTGATGAAATTGACAATATGGAGGATCAGATATATGTGAGTTGTCTTCATTGTTATTCTTTTTGGTTTCCAGTAGAACATACAACTTCAACAGCACATCTGTGTTTCATCTTGTTTCCTGTAGTCCACGATTACTCATGCGTTTTCCCCTCCTCATCACTTGATCTCCTCTCCTTGTCACCTTCAGACATCCAACTCATTGTTTCTTATTCGAATCTGGCGTTTAATTGTCGTTCAGCCATCCACTCAGTGTACTTCCGTTCCTTTTTTATTTCCGTCAGTTTATTTTGTTGGGTGGTCATAGGTTTCTTGGTTGGTTTGTTGTCATAGTTCTGTGTTCCCATTGTTATTATGATTTTTTTCAAGTTTAATCACGGATTGATATAAGTTGGAGAACCAATTAAAAACCAGGGAGTACTGGGCAGGTGTTTCGCCAGCCTAGTCTGGGACTCCTCAGCGGTACGCACCCACACCACATGATCTCGCACCCAGGACGTACCGGTTGCAAGGCAAGCTGGTAGGCCATTAATTCACTGGGACCCGATCTAATGGCCAGTCCATGAATTCTAATTATTATTGTTTCCTTTAATTCCTATAGGAATATAGGGCTTCAGCCGCACATCTCCATTGCGTTTGGTTCTCTGCTAGAGTTTTCACCTGGCTCCACGTCTGCCTACATGCTTTTATCGCCTCTTCACATCACCCCTCCTCCATGTCACCCTCTCACTGACGACCAACTCATCGCTTCTCATTCAAGATCTACTTGAGCAGTGGCCTGGCGTTTGATGTGACTCATTTGATGGTTTGTTTTCTCAGAGTATGGCCAGCCAATCTACCTCCATTTCTTGCTGCATATTTGTTGCACAGCTGGTTCCTGCTGGGTTTGTTCGTTGATTGATTGCCAGAGATCTCTGTTGCTGATCGTTTTCGGCCAGCCATCTGATCTTGAGTAGTATTGAAAAAAGACAGCTGTTGATGAAGGTCTGTCATTTGTTTGAAGTAATCCTTCGTGAAGCGGCGCCAAGTCTCTGATCCGTATAGTAGCACTGACTGACTTCACATTGGAGTTGAAAATCGGGATCTTATTTCTCATGCTGAGTGCTGGGTGCTGTTGATCTTCACACATACTTGATAGTAATAAAAGCTTGCCTTGCTTTCCCGATTCTCACTTTCATTTCCTCATCAGTTCCGTCCACCTGTAGTTAAAACGATGCTTCCCAGGTAGTTAGGTGGTTGCTAGTGAGCATTATAAAATAATATTATAAACTATATATTAACCTTAGTAAATTCCTCCCGTTATCCGTTTTCACTCAGAGATATCCCAGATAACCCCTAGACTTGACTATTTTTTAAATTCATTCTATAAGAATATTTGTGATTATAATCATAGTTAAATGTCAAATGGCTAAACAATTAATGTCATATATAGAATAATTCATAGGATGGATAGAACTTGAAAAGAACATTCCCTGCTGCATCTTTGAGAATAGCCTTTACTAGTCGACCATTTCTGTTCAATAATCTGAAGGACAGGATCCCGCTGTTGACCACCTCTATGTGTGTTTATCAATTCACCTGCTCGTGTGTGGAGCCAGGTTTATCCGTCGTTCGACTCGAGTTTTGTCCAAGAGGGTTCAAGAACACCATCCTGCATGGTAATTACGAATAGGTGGAAGTGGAGCAGAAAGAAGCGTGATCATTGGACATCTGGTCGATAATGATCACCCTATCTCTATAGCCTCCGCCTTTAAAATCACCTACAAGACAAAGAGTAATATACCCGAATCACTACGTACCCGACTCATCTGTATTGCTGAAGCTTTGACTAATCAATTTGTGTTCTCTTCCTTTATTACGTCAATTGTTACAATTATTACTATTCTCACTTTGAACTGTCACCGGTATTATTTCACTTGTTCCACTTGTCATTCTAAATTAATTCTCTTTTTTACAACGATAAATTCTATGCTTTTAAATTTCACACAATATTATGTAACGTAACGTTTTTATTTTATCCGATTTGCCTACTAATCCTATAATTGCACACCCCACCCACCAAGTCCATCCTATGAATAGTTCTACATATGACATTAATTCGATTTGCCACTTGACATTTAGATCGTGGAAAACTGCCATATAGACATTAGAAAGAAGAGAACACGAAGTTCAGCAAAGATGTTGATCTTTTCGGCGATTTCATTCTAAAAAGCAGCTGTACAATCGCATCTATATAGATTAGTTTACATGGATACAATTATTATTTGTTTAATTCCACATAGTAACAAAGGTGATAATAATTTTCAACTTGATATTTGAAAGTTTGAAGATACGAATATAGATTACAAGGGGCTCACAGACAATATTGCATAGGATTAGAAAATAGTTACAACGTATGCAAAAATTAATATTTGATAACTGGAGAAATAATTTTGAAGGCGAATCAAAGGTGATAATTCTTTTCAACTTGATATGAATTACAAGAGGCTTAGAAATGCAGGGATAGAACGAATGACAGGTGTGAACAAAATGAGCATGGAAACAAATTGAAATCAAAATTTTTTCAACTTGAAGTGTTAGTTAGGAGGTGTGAATATAAATTACAAGGGCCTTAGAAACACAAAATTGCACAGGATTAAGATATAATTGTAAAATAGTTATTTTAAACGAATTATAAATGTGAACAGGAAAAGCATGGAAACAAACTTGAAATAACTGTTTTTATAACTGAAAAAATTAGGTGAATCGAATGAAGACTGGAAGATATGCAAGTGATGAAAAGCAACAAGTTGGCAGAAGAAGCATCCTGAGAAGATAGGACTTCAAGTGAACATAGATAAAACAGAGATAATGAAGATTCCTGGCCAACACCAACAGCAACAACAACAGACAACAATTAGCCAGCATAAATGGGAGGAACCTGAAAGAAACAACCTCCTTTACCTACCCACCGACCTGGGAAGCATCGTTTCAACTACAGGCGGACGGAAATGACGAGGATATCAAAGCGAGAATCGGAAAAGCAAGACAAGCTTTCATTACTCTGAAGTCTGTGTGAAAGTCAACATCACTCAGAATCAAAAATAAGATCCGGATTTTCAACTCCAATGTGAAGTCAGTCAGTGCTACTCACTATACGGATCAGAGACTTAGCGCCGCGTCATAAAGAGCATCTTCAACAAACTTCAGACCTTCATTAACAGTTGTCTTCGCTCAATACTCAAGATCAGATGGCCATAAAAGATCAGCAACATGGATCTCTGGCAATGAGCGAACCAACTCAGCGGGAACCGATTGTGAAAAAAATAGGCAGGAAGAAATGGAGATGGATTGGCTGACCATACTCTGAGGAAACCAACATGTGACATCACTAGACAAGCCATTGCTCCAGTGGAACCCGAAAGGGAAGCGGCGAGGAGGAGATGAAAGCATTTGGGCAGACTTGGAGCGGGGTGAAACAGTTGGCAGAAAACAGAAGGCAACGGAGATGCGCAGCTGAAGCCTTATGTTCCTCTAGGAATTAAAGGATATAATAATAATAAATAATAATAATAATGAAGACTGAGGGACTAAGGATCAGACACGCAGCGAACGAAAAAGTGATCAGAAAGAAAAGGGAGAACGGAAGAAGGAGAAGAAAACGGAAGCAAAGGGAACATACCAAACTAGGTCACCCATGGTAGTTGAAGGAGTTGGACTGATCACTTTTGAACACACAGCTCCGGCTTCCCGATGCGTATTGCGAGGGCTTCTGCAGGACAATACAGAGAAGTCAGAAACATACTGCTTTTGATGGGTTTCTGTTGACTTTGTAAATCACTTTGAAAGAATCAGTTGTTCAAATAATGGCACTTCTGATTGAACCGGTGTGTATCCCCTTTTCATCCACGCTGGGTAGTGTTCTCTAACACGTTTTGAAGGGACTCGCATACAACGACCTATGTACCTAGCTCCGCACGAACAGGTGAACTGGTATATGCACATTGAATTGGTCATATGCGAGAGTTTGTGCTTCGTGTTGTTTCGAAGTATTGGACGGCTAGAGAATGTCACTCTTGCTGTGTTGCTGCAGGGAAGGTCTTCTTTAAAGAGCTGGGTATTCTCCTCTTCAGGATATCAGCTGCCAAATGATGGATGGAATGATCAGTGTTAACCAGGTGTTAAATTAACAGTTGCCATCCAGCAATTAAATTCACTTTTGAAATGGAAAACGAGTCAAAAAAATTCCATCTCAACAACAAACGCCTCCTGTTTCAAAGTAATCTACAGAGTCAAGAATAACCACCTATCATAGGCAATATGGTTTCGTCTTCTTTGTTGTATCGCTGAAGCTCTGGCCGGAGCTTTGCATACAAAAGAGGATTACTCAACCACTTGTACTGTCATGGTAACAACTTTTTGATTTGAGTTTTGTATTTTGATGACCTAATTTTGTTTCTTTGCCTGCCTGTTCTTTAATTGCTTAGAATTCTTGTATTCATTTAGAACTCCTACGTGATTTCGTATTCTCCGCTTTGTTTCTATGTGCATCCTGAGTAAAACTCACTCATCAAACTATTCATATTATTATTACATAACTCCTTTTTTAACAACTGTTTGTGACAACTCATCACCTTTGTTACTACCCTAATTTCATTGACACCTAATTTTCTTGACTTGTATTTCCAATCTTCACCTGTTCAGTTAAAATAACCTCAACCGATTGTAATTTTGTTTGAATGTTTAATGTACACATACATACAAAATAACACACATATGTATTCGCGATTGTACAGCTAAGGTGGAAAATGAATTCACCGCCGAAAAGAGTCTCTTCACTGAACCGCGTGTTTTGTTTTTATTAATACCTACCTGAATGGGGATTATCCATGGTTATCTAATGTCATGCCTAACTGAACATCACTCATATATTTAAATGTCATTCAGCTTGGCGTTTATATATTTTATTTTCAAATTGTAGTTCAATAATATACATTTAGAATCAACGGAGGTGAATTTTTCTATGGACAATTTACGTAATCGTTGGAGTGAACTGCTACAGACGTTGTCATCTACTCATGGAATCGATCAATCCTCCAGGAATGATGTTGTCGGATATGATGATGAGCAGGGTGATAATAATAATAATACCAATAATGACTGTGATGTGGGGAATTTTTCATTTGGACAATTTAGAGCTACAGAAGATAAAGAAGCTGAGAATGAATTGACAATGTATTTCAAGTAAGTGAATTTTTGTGATATAAGAATAAAACTTGTGCACTGTGATGGTAGAGTGTAATTCCATTATGGGTAAGTTTTTGTTTTGATAAAGTCTCACACAGTGTTGTTATACAGTAATGTTGTTTACTGATGACAACGGTTAGAGCACAATTTATTGCCACTCATAGATCATATCAAGGTAATCAATCAATCTCACGACTTTCTAACTTCGTTCATATAGTTCCATTGTTTTCCATCACTTGATTTGATTGGTAGTAGTTTTTTCTTTGCATATTTCGGGTATGAGTGATGAATCATTCCTATTGCAAGTGGTGGGTGTAGATTCACTCGATGAACAAGGCAGGATTCAGTGATCAACCTCTCTATCCATCCACCTAGATTACTTTTTAGAATTTTAACCTTCTCTTACTCTATTGTGTGGTTGTGTGTTAGCGCATGATGTATTACAATTGCTGAGCTTTTTTCTAAATTAATTATCCTTTCAGGGTCAACCATTCTTACCTTAGCCATTAAATTCTTATGTTCTGACAATCTGACTACCCCTGACCTGCTAGTTTGACGTATATAGTTGACCTCACAGTCAGTTCAGGGTATTTTGTAAATTATATTATTTTGTCTAATTGGATCAACTGGGTCCTTTAACCTACAGAGCTTGTCCCTGACAGAGTTTGTAGGTTTAAATGCCACCCTAATTCCTGCTTTATTAAGAATCCTACGTAGGGAGGGTCTCAGATGTCCTTACAGCTTTTTTCTAAATTAGTAAAGTAATTTAGAAAAAAGCTCAGAAATTGCACTACATGCATTAACACACAACCACACAATACGCTGGGTAGGAGAGGGTTAAGATTCTAAGAAGACCAATTCTAAGACCAATCTTCCCTGGAGTGATGAAACCCGAATGGGAAACGATAAGTTAGCCATCGGAGGGTTACACAGAGTAGTAGTAGTAGTAGTGTGTCATCTGGGTAGGAGAGTACAGCACATAGACGATCTTGGTGCTGGATAAAGACGACTGTAGAGAACATAGTGAAATGGAGTTGTGCTTTTCAAGGAGTGTGTATATGTCCCCCTCAGAACTCAAGGGAATACTACACACTGTCGTTATCATTCAGTTTGCTTTTCTCGTCTGTTTTCTTTTTCGCTCTTCTATGCTTCTTTTTTGTATTTTTACAACAGAAAAGAAACATTCAATAGTCTTCAAGTTATTGGACAATTTAATCTTGGCTTTATTATTGCACGTCATCGCAACGATTTATTCATTATTGATCAACATGCAAGTGATGAAAAGTATCGATTTGAACAATTGGCTGAAAATTATCGATTTAAAAGTCAACCTTTAGTTGTGTAAGTAAAAAAAGTAGTTTGTGGATAATCACACCGTTTGTGTCCTCGTGTGTGTGTGTGGAACTCTTGGCTACAACACGGAGGCGATGAATAAATTTCTGGGTTTTTCATTTTAGTCTTACTGATTCCTATAACTTTAGCCATCATGTGCCTTTTATAGGTAAATCACCAGAAACTCGACAATGTAAGGTGGTTCTTCTAATTTCGACCTGATGTTATCTGTCTATCTGTCTGTCAGACGTGACAGTAACATTACTTACTTGCGGCTTACTGAATCCTTATCTAAAAATTATCCATTGAGAATTTTATCAAAACGCGCACATTTTAGATTTTTTAAAGCATTTGCAGAAATTATGAAGCTATGACTTCTTACTTGTGGTGGACTAGATTATGCGTCAGACTGTGCGTGGGGGGGGGCGGCGAGTAGACAGGAATACGTTGTTATTATTATTATTGTTCCCTTGGGTTCCTAGTGGAACATAGGGCTTCAACTGCACGTCTCCACTTGCCACTTCTGTCTTCCTTCTTCTGTACTTTTCACCTGAATCCATCCATGTTAGTTAGTCCATACTGTTTCAACTCCTCCTCTTCACACGATCTCCTCCATGTCACCCACCCTTGCACTGACGACCCACTCGCCACTTCCCTTTCGGCCTGGTTCCACTCGGGAAATGGCCTGACGCGCACTATGTCACCCAGAGGCCCGGCCTCCTCAACCGCGAGTGTCCAATCCATCTTCAGTTCTCCTGCATATTTGTTGGTTGACGATTGGTTCTTGTTTCGTTTGTTTGTTCCCAGCCATAGTTTCTTGTTGGTGATTCTTTCCGGCCCGGCCATCTGATCTTCAGTATAGATTCAGTGAAGACAGTTGTTTGTTGATGAAGGTCTGTAACAGGCTGTTGGAAATATTCTTTGTGATCCGCCCGCCAAGTTTCTGATCCGTATAGAAGAACTGACTGATTTGACGTTGTTTGTATTGAAGATCCGACAGAATTTTGTTGTTGATTCTGGCTGAGTGACGAAGATTTCCAGATTGTTTTCAGTCAGGTTGGTGAACGTGTTTCTGGCCTTCCCGATTCTCGCTCGATTTGACATCCTCGTCCGTTCCTCCGTTCCTGTAGTTGAGACAATGCTCCCTAGATAAGTGAGTGAATGAAGTAATTTTTATTTTTTTTTTTATTTTTGATTACAGCTTGATTCCACACCGTATTTTTGGTACAAGTATGGAATTTTCAGCATGGATATCGGTAGCCCAAATTTTGCAGGCCGACCATAGATATCAGGTGTGCGTCGGCGTGGGCTCGAACCCCGGACCATGTGCATGGTCGGCGAGAATCCTAACCACTGTGCCACCGACACACCTCTTTCAAATCCCTCCCATTGATAGTGATTGGCGCTGGATGTTACTGCTGTTGTTGTTGTCGGTTGGTTGGTTATTTTAATAAACTTCCGTCTTGTCTATGTTCACCTGGATTCCTGTCTTTGCTGCTTCTTCGACCAGACAGGAATACGTTGGACCACCGATAAAAAGACTCTAGAAGATCTGGATTTCTCAGTTGAAATGTATCTAATGCCCCAGAAACTTGAAGACCTACAGGTGAAAAGCAACAAACTACTGGCTGAAGAGACAAGCAGCGAAGACAAGACTACAGGTGAACAAAAAGAGCACAGAGGTGATGAAGTTAACCAACGAACCGTAACAACAACAACAACAACAACCAGCATCAATCACCACCAGAAGGAGACATCTGACAGAAGTTACCTCCTTCACTTATTTTGGGGAACACGGATTCAACCACAGGCAGTCGGAACAGATGAAGATGTCAAAGCCAGCCAGCCAGCCAGAATCGGAAGGACAGGCAATAAACGCCTTTATCAACTTGAAACCAGTTTGGAAATCTTCTGCACTCAGCCAGCATAAAGAAAACAAGATTCGGATTTTCAGCACAAATATGAAGTCATTGAGTCAATCCTTCTATACGGGTCAGAAACTTGCACTACTACATATCACAAAAAGGATTTCCAACAGGTTGCAGACATTTATCAACGACTGCCCTCTTCACTGGCTCCATACTAAAGATCAAATGACCAGAAAGAATCACTAACAAGGAACTCCGGCTGGAAACAAGCCAACCAACCATGAGCTGATCGCTCAACAAATATGTGGAAGAAAATTGGAATGGATTCGGCATATACTGAAGAGGAGATCGTCGAATAACGTCCCGCGCCAGCCACGTCATTGCTCGACTGGAATCCCGATGGAAAGAGGTGAGTAGTAGTGGGTCATCGGCGCGTGGGTGACATAGAGGAAGATTGTGCGAGGAAGAGATGAGAGGTTATGGGCAATCATCGACCCAGATGAAGAGGACAGCTGAGATGAATAGAACAAAGTGGAGATGTGTTGTTGAATCCCTATGTTCTACCACTCCGAACCCAAGGAAATAATAATAATAATGATAATAATAATAGTTACTGCACCGGTGTAGGCACTCGACTCTCAACCACGCTTGGTCACGGAATTGAACCTAGTTCCGTGTACCAAGGTTTAGGCAGCTAGGTAGTATCATTAGTCCTCAGATAACCTTTCATTTCGTGCAATATTTATAATTTTCAAGTATTGGTTTTGTAGGGACTTTTGTTTGATTGCATGGAGGATTTAATCATGAGCTGACATCAGTTAGAGAACCACTGGAAAACCTGGGAGTACTGGACAGCTGTTTCGTCCTAGTTTGGGACTCTTCAGCACTACGCACCCACCGGGGTTCGAACCCAGGACCTTCTGGTTACAAGGCTAGAGAGCTCGTAGACCATTGAGCCACTGGGACCCGATCCAATGGTCTACGAGCTCGCTAGCCTTGTAACCAGAAGGTCCTGGGTTCGAACCCCGGTGGGTGCGTAGTGCTGAAGAGTCCCAAACTAGGACGAAACAGCTGTCCAGTACTCCCAGGTTTTCCAGTGGTTCTCTAACTGATGTCAGCTCATGATTAAATCCTCCATATTTATAATTGTCATCGGTTTTCATTATGAGTTCACTTCGGTTAGAGAACCATTGTAAAAAATCGATGTTATCTCATGACAAAATCCTGTAGCCAATCTAATCTATGCAAGCCAACACTGGAATTTAATTGTATTCTGATTGTTTTTTTATATGCTTTCATATAAATTATAAATAAATAGACTTTGGTTTGTGTTTATGTGTATACTCCTCCTTCAACAGGCCACAGAAGCTACATTTAACCATTGCTAATGAACAAATATTAATCAATAATTTGGTTGTTTTCGCGAAAAACGGATTCGCATTTCGTATTAATGATAATGGTATGATTTTATTATGTATGAATTATTACTACTACTATTTTTATTATTGTTCTTATTATTCCCTTCGCTTCCGAGTGGAACACAATCGATCGCTTCCAGGCGGCTTGACTATTGCCCATAAATTCTTATTTCCTCTTCATAGGATCTTCCAACAGTCATTGTAGATACTTCTTGACTTAAGGGCAGCATTCGACTCTGTCGACCGAGAAGTTCTCTGGAGATGCTTGGCTGTAAAAGGAATCCCGAGAAAATATATTTCACTGATTAAGGCACTCTACTCGTACTCATACAGCCAGGTGAGGACCTACGGCGAGTTGTCATCTGAACTGGTGACGACAAGTGGTGTCCGTCAAGGATGCCCATTATCTCCTTTTCTATTCAACTTCATCATAGATGTACTAATAGACTTAACCCTAAGTGACTTGAGCGACTCAGGGATTGACTTGCTACTAGGGAATAATAGTCTCGTTGACTTGGAATATGCAGACGATATAGTCCTTCTAGGTGACGACTCTGACAAAATGCAGAGTCTTCTAAACACCTTGAGCCGCAATCTACGAATGTTTGGCATTCGATTCGCTCCTGCCAAATGCAAGATGATATTACAGGACTGGACTACATCGACGCCTAGTTTAAAAATAGGAAGTGAAGTGGTTGGTGGAGCACGTTGACCGCTTCACTTATTTGAGAAGTACCATGAGCCAGTGCCAACGGGTTGATCTCTAACGAAATCTCAACACGGATACAGGGGGCTCGTTTCGCATTTGCCAGTTTACGCCGACTCTGGCGTAGACGAGATATTCGACTATCGACAAAAGGGCGGGTGTACTGCTCATCAGTCCGCTCCGTCCTCCTTTATGACTAGCTGTGAGTGAGACCTGGTCACTGAGAGTGAAAGACATGAAAAGGCTGACTAGCTGTCTTTGATCATAGGTGCCTGCGTTCTATTTCCCGTGTGAAGTGGCATAATAAGGTGATCAACATTGAGGTTAGGCGGTCGAGTTCTAGGTAAACATGGGAAATCAATCGACGAAGTTGTGAAGTTACAAAGACTGAGATGGTTAGGATATGTGTTACGTATTCCTGGTCATCGCTGTCCTCGACAAGTAATGTTAGCGGATATAGGGTCAGGCTGGAAAAAAGCTAGCGTCGGTCAAACAAAAACATGGCACCAGTCAATGGAATATACAGCAGTTAGTCTAAGCCACGTAGGAAGGTGTAGACTTCTTGGCAGGCTGGGGTCCTCGGGACGGTAAAAATCTATGGTTGGAAACAATTGGTGACATGACTCAAAGTGATCGTTCTCAGTGGCTAGCGCAGATGCATCCACTCCTTGTGACTTATGATCTCCAATGAAACTGTTTTGTTCTTCGTTAATACTACTCCTTTGTCTCACCCCTCTGCTCACTGTTTCTATTATGCTTTTCTTGTACTTTCTTCTCTTGCTTTGTGTGCTACAGGGAGTGTGGCGACTTGAACTGGTGCACATTTGTGCAAAGTTCTATGTCGAAAACAGACAGACATAGGATCTTCGCCATGTCAACCTCGCACTGACGCCTAACTCTTTGTTTCCCACTTGAACTGCTGCACACCGGTGCAAAGTTCTATGTTGTGTTTCCCACTTGAACTCAACCGACAGCTGCTACCTTGACGTGGTGGTCGTCCGGCTAGCACATAGAAATGATCCGACAAGCTACACTGGCTGGAACTATTGTTCCTGCAGGTCCTACTATGCCAGGAAGGTTGTTAGGATAGTGATTAGACTAAAAGCAGTTACCGGCATATTTTAAGAGTTTTTGGTTTTGCACTGTGCTGTGGGGAGCAAATTTATTCGACCATAGGTTCTTGGTTGACTCGTCACCAGAGTTCCCTATTGCTTATCCCTCTTGGTTGTCCATCTGATCTTCATTATGGAACCAGAGAAACAGGCAGCTGTTGATAAAAGTCTGCAGTATCCCATTGGAAATGCTTTCGGTGATGCACCTAGTCTGTGAACCATATAGGGATGGTGACTGGCAGTGGAATCCAGGATAACGCACATTTCGTCCTATTTGGGACTCGTCCTCCAGCTGGGTGTACTACCTGCATTCCCCAGTCATTGAGTGATGATGTTCCCACCGAGACTCGAGCCCAATGCCCATAGTTTCAAACGCCAGCCAAAGTGTTATCCACTAGACCATTTAGGTCACTGGACATATAGAATCATTGTCTGATATCATATGCGTGTTGATAATTCGAATCGTGTTCTCAATGCTGAGTACAAGACATTTCCACACTGACTAAGGAAGGCCTATCTTGTAATTCCATATTAATTTGTTTATTAGAAATATCACACAGTGAGTGTAACAGTATTATTTACTGGATGACACAGTTTCGAACAAAATTTATTGCTGTTCATAATCATATTCTCAATTATAATCATACGACTTCGAAACTTGAGTTTTATAGTCTTCTTTCTTCTCTCCTCTTTGTCGTCGTAGGGATGGTAGAAATCTCCAGATGTCATCGTGAACGTATTTGAAGTTGATTCGATAAACAAAGCTACTGTTATCAATCTCACCCTCTACCCAGTTGTTACATTAGGCTTTAAAAACTGTCATCTTATCCCATCCTATTGTATGGTTGTGTGTAATTGCATCTAGTGAGTGCTATAGCTGAACTATTCTCTAGATTTCTTATCTTATTCGGGTCAACTAATCTAGATTTTGCTAGACTTTTATGCTCGGTTAATCTGACTAACCCTGTTCTACTACTTTGACCTATGTATTTGACTTGATAATCATTCCACTGTGCCACCGACGCGCACAGTCATTGGAGGCGTGGTTTAGATAAACTAAATTGTTTTGTTTAATTTTCTCCACCGGATTGATCCTTTAACCGACAAAGCTTGTTTCTAATTGAGTTTGTAGGTGACTGAATGCCAGCCACTTTTATTCCTGGCTGCCTTGTTAAGAATTCTCCGTAAGGTGGTGTCCGAGGTTCCTTCTTTCTGTGGAAGTACTACTGATGATTTGGATTCCTCATTGCTGGTGTTGTCTTGCGCATATTTGACATGCATGTCGTCATTAATATTATTATTATTATCACTATCACTTCTATCATTATTTATTATTTTATTTTTACATTTCCCTACATACTTTCTGACTAATTTATCAGCGTAATTATTAAGTTTCAAGGCTTCTCTTATATGCCTAACTTCCTGTCATACATTTTCTTGGTACTACTTAGCTTTTGTGCTCTATTGTGTAAACATTTCTCCAATCCTATTTTTACTGACATAGGATTGGATGATCGGAAGTTCGAATATCTGTTTGAATGTGTAGGTGGGTTTTCTGTAAACACACTAGTGGTATATAACTTACCATCTTCTTTTCTTTGTACGCTACAATCTAACATTGGAAGTTCCCCTTCCTGACTTTCTATCTGTCCTTCCATCTATCTACTTTCTGTCTATTTTGTTTTTCCAATCCTGCCTCTTACATCCTCATTCGTTTCGTCTGTCGTTGAAATAATTCTGCTCAAATAAGTGAAAGGGGTGACCTTCGAACTAAGTGAATAACTACTGTTGCGTGATTGCTGCTGCCTACAAATGGCTATGGCTGTACATGTTCTATGTGCAAGTGATCGCTTGTGAGAGGGTCATTTAGCGCTGACGGTTTGTCGTCCGTCCTCCACCCTTCGACTTCTTGATAGTCCGGCAGTCTCGATGGGATTCAGCAGCTCTTTGTGGAAAACCCCTATGTGTGTGTGTGTGGACTTCTCATCGATGTAGACAAGTGGTGTGTTGAAATCACCAGCAACCGTTTATTTTTGGTGTTAAATGTCGAGGATCCGTAAACTCTTACGATAAGGAACTCTGTATTGTTGATAGTCATTCAATATCAGACTGACTTTGACATTTTTGACAGTGTTGTATTAACGTCTAAACTTTATCGCACCTCACCGCTTTTTTTACACTGCAAATCGTCCACAGTTCTTTGCGTAACTGGATGGAGGATTTCGTCACCAGTTAGAGAACCACTAGAAGACCAGGTAGGGGAGTACTGGATAGCTATTTCGTCCAAGTTTGGGACTCTTCAACAGTACGCACTCACCGTCAGGAGGCGGACTCACGACCTTCTGGTTAAAAGGCCAGCTTGTATACCATTGAGCCAATGGGACCCGATCCAATGGCCCCAGTGAGTGCGTACTTCTGAAGAGTCCCAAACTAGGCTGAAGAAACAGCTTTCCAGTACTCACAGGTTTTCCAGTGGTTCTCTAACCAATGTCAACTCATGATGAAATCCTCCATGCAATCAAACAAAATCTTTCCATAACTATTTCGTTGTTTTCTGTGTTAGCTGATGATTGACTGTGCGAGATGCGAGCATATGAACTTGATTTCAGTTATCTAACTTATAGGATATCTGATATTTCTGCTAAAGCATTCATTGAGTAGTTTCGCTTACCACATCGTCGTTTTGTGTACTTACTGACTATGGATGACATTGTGTCCAGTTTGAGACAGAAATGTGTATTTAGATAAAGCAATAAGAAGACGTAATTTGTCTGAATCGTGTAATGTATTTGCGCAACACATTTCGAACAATCTGATCACACACGGACTTGTCATAGGAATATATATATAAAAAATTAATAAAGAGGTAAGAGGTGAGAAAAATAGACTTAGGTCAAGTTAAAAGGACATATTCAAGGTCAAAAAATAAAAATGAAGACCACTAAACCAAATAGCAGAGGTAATAGTACATCTGCTATGGTATCAAAACAAAATTTACCAAGGAAGGTTTAATGTGATGACAAATTGTTTTTGAACGCATAAAGGTGGCTTGAACTTTCTAATTGCTAGGGCTTCTACAAACTTTAGGATACGCCCCAAACACGTTTTATAGATAGGTTTAAAAGATCTGTTAACATCAATTTTATGACCTGTCTCTATAATATGTTTCGCAATAGAAGAGCTAGGTCTCCTGTTCTCACCGTTAATAGGTTCTGATGATTCC